GGTTCGCTACATTCGATGCGATTATAGCATCATTAAGATGTTCGGGTAAAAATTAACTGCTATTAGAACTGAGTAACTTCTTGATGATATCGGTTTATTGGTCTGGTGATGGTACTAGGCGCATCTGGCTCACCGAAAACAAGCGATCATCGCAAAGTCTTACTTGCTCAGCATGCCCATATCCACGATGTTGTTCTTTTGCTAAATTGACTACTACATTACAAAGGTGTCAACATTGTGACACCAGCGCTTAAATGCTCCATACACAGTCCGCACACAGAAATGCCTGACACAACAGCCGAGATAATAGAGGCCTCTACCGTCTCCAGCTTCCTCACCCAGCTGCGAGCTGTCTCACGCCACAACGTGAATCGACTATTTGACTAGCACTGGTGGCTCAAAGCGTAAATGGCCAAGCAGTTTGTTGACCTTGTTCTAGATTTGTGACTGTTACCCGTCTGGCTAAGTGTCACAACGATGGAGAATTGGCAACGCCGCTGGAGTGCACAGGCGCAATGTGGTACGACGACGCTAGCCGTCGCAGGTCAGCCATTTCATTTCATTCTCATTCTCATGCGTCTTACTCGACCTTGAGTATCCGCGCTAGGACGACAAAACTCCGCCCCTGTGACTCCCGTTCAGCGCCATCCGAAAAGGCACAGAGTCGAGCCGTGAACGGCTAATACTCTTGCTCCACTTACCGTAATCAACATCCCATTAATGGACTTTCCCACTGTGGTCGACTTCTTTCTTCTATGCGTCGTTAATTTGTTGTCGTCAGTGGTGCTACAAGACTCTACAATGTTCAAACAGCAGATCACTCTCTGCAGTCCATGGCGTGTTCTAAAGAAAACTTCTAGAGAGAAATTCCAAAATCATGTACTGGAACAATATTAAACCTGTTTAACTGTTATACCTTCTGCATCTGTAGGCCAGTCGACCATCAAACTTTCTCCCCAAATTGTTGAAAGCCGGTGTGATTTCTAGGATTAGTTCTACTACATTAATCTTGTACGAGCGCGTGTAGCGCAGTGGTTATAGGTGCTTTGCAGTACATATTTGGCTTTTGGTGTCATCCCTTTCTCTGTGCTCACCAAGTTTTCCATCTCATTCGGTTTGGCAAAATAGCACCAGACTTATCTCGGAGGAAAGCATCAAAGACTTGATACATCGGTAGGCCACCAGAAATCAGTGGTCATTGTTAAGGCCGGATGTCCATTAAGTCACCCTTAACGATACTTAATTAAGACAAGTGATCTTTCAGGGATTGATAGACTTCGAAAGCCTTATCTTTTTAACGTTACGTTAATGGCAACTAATTTAGTTCTACGCACCAAAGAATTTAAATGGTTACTTGAAGGCTCACTAGGTGGTTTCAACCACTCAGTCAGATACTCTTCTATGGGCTTCCCTACTACGAATTCTCAATAACTAACAAATAACTAGTATTATTCCACATCTTACCTGCTGTATCATTGAAGACCTTTTCTAAATAGTATGATATTCTTCGTGCTCATCATACTGCAGTGATTTTCTTTGGATTAGAAATCGAATTTCTGAAGTCGCCTTTTTGGGATCCTTGCAGATAGTGCTCAGTATCGTTCTCCTTTCGGCATTCAATCTTCAATTACACCCCTAAACAGAGTTCTCACCAACGCATCAGTGCTCTTCACATTCCTTAAGCTGCTCTTCCTTCCTTTTTCTACAAGTTACTTTTCTGTTTGTCGATTTCCGTCGCTTTTGTGATCTAACAGCTAGCGTGTTCTAACAGCTAGCGGACTGCGAACATATCGAGATGTTCGTTGAAGTTTCACGATTGTCAACTATTAGTAGCGAGCATTTGAGGAAGGCTAACTACTCTGCTTAGGAATTGCTTGCGTTGACTTAACTATTCTTGGAATGCACCTTTCGATTACAAAAACATAGGCAAGGTCAAGGGTGATGGCACTCTTCTCTCCGTTATTCTTGTTTTTTTTTTGTATTCGCTGAGTCTTTCACTGAAAATGAGTCCGAACTGGTGTCCGAAGGTGTTTCATCTTGAGCCAAGCGGATTCCTACGAACTAACTTCGTGGAAATATGAGGGTTGTTGGTTTCTAGGCTAGAGCTATCAGCGACTCATTCTAGTGCGAGTGACACTTACGACGCTACTCAAACGTTATTTCATTGGTGCTTATTTTAACTAAGATGTCAAAAAATCTTCAATTTAGTGTTAGTCTAATATATAATTAGAGGTTAACGGCTATAACTACAGTTTCTAACAAGGGTATATGACACTTTCTGGTGAGCCGACCAGAAGTTTTAAATTTCCTATTTAAACTATATAATAAGTATCAGGTCGCATGTAACAGGCTAGCATTCGAGCCTGCAATACACACTGGATGGGCCTCGTTTGATCCGTAACCGAGCGAGCATTACATCCCTTAGGGGTTAACAAATTTGTACTGCACTTATTTATGAGATAAAACACCGACTTCGCGTTATTTTCTTGAATTATTCGGCTGAAACGAGGTTGTTACAGCAACTATTCAGGGAACGTTCTGATCTTCTTCAGAGTCGCGATGATTCGAGCCGCTGGTCTACAGTCATTCGTCCTCGTTCACGCATCGAGTGAAATTCGATAAAACTAAGCACTCGAATGAGAGATATGGCTCAGTGGGCAGTGCCACTTTGAGCAGGACGTTTGTTGACCTACATCGTGCAAAAGTCGGTGTTTATACTAGCTGGCACATAACGTGACAATATCTTTAGAAACCGACTTTCATTTGACCTCGGCATGATTGATCAAGTATTTTTCGGATTTTTGAGCTAACCCGAGATTATTGTAAAAACTTCAGCTCCTGAACATTCGACTCGAATCAATCCGGCTCCAAGGAACACAAAGACGTCGGGATTTTAACCGAGAAGTATTTTTTTCATCAAATTCCAGTAAGGTTAATTGTCCAAGAAAATGTTGACTAATCAGGCTGAGATTAAATGGAAGTCGGATTCTAGAAACATTGACCTGGCATATCACTAGGCCAGCGGAAGTCATTGTTCAGGCCAGATATCTGTTCAAGCACGCTTACGATCATTGACGAAGTCGAATGCATGGCTCATTTCTCAGGCAATTGATTAACTCTGAAAGTTTTATCTTCATCGCTTTAAAGAGTATAACATTAAAAAAATCCTTATGAGATGTATCACAACGTTTTGTCTGGTAGCCTTTATTGTTCAAATACCTTTTTCCGTTATAATTTCTTCCCATGTTCAAGGACCGAAATATATTGTTTCCATCTATCTTCGATACGAAGATGATGTGAATAAAGTGGGAGGAAATCTTTAGGTTTTAAATATTGCGCAGACACCAGCATATTTTGTGTGCTAGCAGCGCAAGACTTGGATAATCCTCCGATTCGGCGAAACGGATCGCAGCTCTCCAGGTGCCATATGTCTGTTCTGTAACCGCCCAAACGGTTTCTACTACATCTAGCGGGAGAAAAAGTCTGATAGTGATGTCTTACAAGGTCATCAGTTTTATAAAACATTCAAATTTCTTCTCAGTATGGACATTAACACAGTGATCTAATGCCTCGCATTTCGAGAGCCTTCAACTTCAACATCTTTCCGATGCAGACTTTTGACGGAATACAGAGTATGCGACAAAAATTAGAGCTCTTTGAAGGAATATGAAATTGTTGCCGTCCTTACTGTGTCTTCATGTATAGGGGCACGTGTAGCGTAGTGGATTCGTCCTTTAAGTCCACCAGCCCTTCTATATTTCTGAGTTCGGAAAAGTGGCATCAGATCTGTTTAGGAGGATAGCAGCACTGAATCAATACATTGATAGGCCACGGCGAGTCAAGGTGAAGCGCGGATGTGCACTCGATCACCGTTAACGATGCCGGTGAAGTCAAATGCATGACGCATTCCTCAGACCTTGATTACCGCCGGAGGCGTTTCCCTTTTTGCACTTTTATGCTATTGTATTCGTTTTCTGCATTCTTTTTTTTAATTGGTATTTCTCTTATGTCTTCTCGTCTTAGTCGTTCTGCGGGATCGCGGTCGAAGGCAACACTACTTTTCCGAACCTTCACACCTCTCTGAAACTCAAAAATTAAGCGTTGAAAAAGGTTTTTGACAATTCTAATGTGTTGCGCCATTGAATTGCTTCTACAGTTTCTAACTACCAAATGTCGACTGTCTATAGTTGAAAGCTGTAAAATTCAAAATTTTCTTCCGTAAAAATTTCCGTTAGCATTACGACTGAAGAGCATTTGTTGAGATCACTCAATTTGTCTCTCCGTGAAAGAAGTAGACAGAAAATATCAAGAGTTCTATAGCACTAGAAGGAGCGTGAGGATTACTGTGAATGAAGCAAATTCGAGCTAGATGTGAAGGCATTCCCATTTGGGTTGGAATTATTCAGACAAACCGCTTTCTTTTTTCTTTTTGCTATAAACTGTCAACAAAAACAACGAAAAACCGTAACGAGGAGAAATGTTTCGATGTTCAATGAGAACAGTGATGAATCGTGGAAAAAATCATATTCTGTCCTTCACCGAAACCTTTGAAGCTGCAGGTGGATGTTGCAACGGCTACTAGATGAAGTTAGGTGAGGTAGATGGGAAGTAAGATGACACTGTTATCAGAAATTCCTTAAATCTGATTGTTTAATTGAAGAGCAATAAGAAAAGCGCTTTCTTCAGAAGGCAGTCTCCCATATTTTTAGAGTGCTTTACTCATCACCGCTTCTGGATTTTCTTTTGCCGATCCTGTCAAAAATTTTTCTCTTAACACAGAGCTTTTTTCTTTAGTATTCTCCTTCCCAGAGCAATCAAGTTTTTTTAAACCAATATGTTTACTTGCTGCTAACACTAATGTAATATGAATATCTGAGGAAAAGGAGAGGCGGATCACTCAAGAATTGCAATCCATTGTTGAATTTGTGACATTGAATGTGTAACATAAAGAGTTTTATTATTCTTTAATTCATTCACTCCTTTCGCTCCTTATTATAAGTATGGGACCATCTAGACCGAAATTCCAGAAGGATCGCTTGTTAGTGGATGGTGGAGCAAGCCATGAGGTGACATCAGGGGCAGACAATTCCAGCGCTGATTTTACGTCTGCACTCCTTGTGTTTCACCACCTCATTCATTGCTTGTAAGTGCTGCTCGTGGCCTATAAAATCGTTGTTTTCCTAGACGGTGGTGAGTACACATCTAATCAGCAGGTGTCCTCCATGCGCGTTATTTCTCGACCTTGAACTTGTCCGAAGGCTCTATCACTGAACAACCTTCAACGAGGCTAACGACATAAGAGAATTGGCTTAGTGGACACGCATTCTCTGAATTCCTCGTCTTCAAATTTATCCGCCGAATTGGAGCACGTTCACTTTTAAAAAGTGGGCAGGAGAAGGTAACAGCGCTCCATTACGAGCAACAGCTCGTAGATGCCTACAGTCTTGTCATTTCCAGTTAATGTGCCATACATCGACGTTTTTTGGAGAAACTCGGATCTCATCGATTAAAGTGAAGTTAGAAGAATAGCGCTAAAGTAAAGGAAGCAAAAAAATCTTCACTAAAAGCTAAAGTTACCACTTCAACAAGCTTCATGAAAAAGCGCCCAATGCCCGATATCGTTCTTTGGATGAAGTTCGTAGACAGGCAAGACCAAAAGAAAACACTATAATGGTGCGCCCTATAAGAATTGTTCAAGTAGCTTGGTGAGTCAACGACGAGACTCAGCAGAGGTCAGACTGCAACCATTTGCTAGCGGCAAGTCAGCGACGTCAAAGATGAATAAACTCATCACTTTGAGTCTAAATGGATTGTCCAAAAGGTTTATCCACACGCGTTTCTAGCATTTTTTGGCTTAACACAAGGTCTCACTAGGTCCTGTTCACTAAAGCCTTAGCTGCAAATACCTAGAGAAAATTTCATAATCCAGCAATTATGTGAGTCTTGAAAGGATAGCCAATTCACTGTAGGCCGTCTTAAAGTAGCGTTTACCAGATAAGCACACTTTTAGGAGATTTGCCGGACAAGATTAAAGAAGGATTTTCCAAAACGAACGCTGTGGACTCGCCGTGGTTTTAAAAGGTTTTTAAATTTCCTGTCGCTATGAGTAATGTTACCACTTCCAGTTGGTTTGTGATGCTTAACGAGAATCCTACCGCTGATTAAGTACGGTCCAAAGAGTTTTCAATGTCATCGCATTACCCTTGTCTCGCTTTTGGTGACAACCTTTACAACGTAACTGGGTCAACACTACACTCCTTCGAACCGGAAAGATGATCATCAATTGACATAACAGCGTCTACTCATTGCCCTTCTGTTTCAAAAAATAAGTAACCAACAACTGGCAGATTTACTGGAAAAAGCAAATGAAAATGGTGACAGTTCACAAGCGATTTTAATTGACGTAATGCTCTGTCTGCATCCCAACAGCAAAATTGAAATTTAATGGATGCAAAAGTAATTAAGCGATCTTCGAAATACATTACTAATTCGGGTATCGGATTCTTAGAACGACTGGGAAACCGAGAGATTTAGAATGGACCTTTATTTCAGGGTAATGGAAGAGTTCTCGTTGCCATCGATGCCACCGGCGCCGGAGCATCTTCACTTTCTATTCGAAAATTCACCGAAGCCTCAATTGCAGACTTGGCTTATATATCGATTCTGTGCATGCTTGATGATCTCCCACAAGCTGGAGAATCCCGAATTGGTTTGTATGCAGAGAAACCGTGTCTTCGGAGCAACTCAAGCTGTTGTTGGAGCGACTTCTGCTTACTGTGCATGCGCCCCACCTTTCAGTAGTAGTCATTAGTCCTCTCAGAATACGAAAGTTTTATGCATTATATTTTTAGTTTGATGTGCATTTTCGAAAATTCGGCCATCAATGGCTCTTACTATAGAGTTTTGCCTTTGAGCTGAATAGGTCAGAACAGTATCTGAAACAACTGTTTAAAGGTCAGTGAGTTGAAAGAGACGTCGTGGTGTTTGCATGTGTTTGCCTGTTAGATTGATCACCACGCTGTCAGACTGTGCTGGGAAAGGTCTCTAGGTGTGATAAAACGGTAAGAGCTCAAGAGCTTATGTTTTCGAAAAATCTCCTTTTTACTGGAATGAGGATTTCGCTCAGAGTTATGCTGTGTTGGTAGCCTCGATTTCCTGGGATCTTTGTAGAATAAGAGCTTGTTGTAGTAGGATGGGTACCCTCGTTTCTACCACTTATGACAGTTGCATATCTTACATAAAATAGCTTTTTTAAAATAAATAGTTGCCATACAGATCTAAAGTGTCTGCTGAAATAAATAAAATAGTCTTGCTTTGGGTTTATTTGGAAGAATTACAAACAAAAACAATGAAGTAGGAAGGAGTTCTACTGCTCCGCTTGTTCTCTTGACTTGGTTATCTGTGGTTAGAACAACGGATTTTAATTTTCGGTTATATCTCGTTTCTTATATAAAATAAAGTTGTATTTTAATCGTTGTTATTTATATCACCAATCTTGTTTCACTACATCGCAACTTATGAGGTCTCTTTGGGTTTACTTGTTCGGATATTTAACCTACAACGGAAGCGCGCTATTTGGTGTGGTTCCGCGGATGGGATACGAGCAATTCTTCTGCGGCAGCAAACTTTCTCGTTTTTTAACAATAAAAAACAATCTTCCAGTAACTGGAAGGTTTTAGGTGTTGTAAACATGACAGGGTTACAGGCGAGACTTTGTTCTACGTTCTTCTTAAGTATGAGTAATATGTATGCTACTATTTTTTGTACTTTACGTGATCAGTCACCACATCTAATGTGCGGATCTCAGCACTTCTTCCATTCGAATCGTTTCCTTCGCATTCATCGTCTCCGGTGGTCTTCGAATATTTCGCGTGTTGCCTCGGCTGCTGTTTGAGGATTTCGTCTTCCTCATGAATGTCGTAGAATGCTGATCGAGTCAAATCTCCTTGCAATGCTTGAGATAGCCGAGCTAAGATGTTCACACTTAGGCTCGAGGAGAGTGTTAGAGCTGGAATCGAACAAGTGTCTTTGCTTCCTGGTCTACAGCACTAACGCAGCACTAACCACTGCGCTATCCCACCGTTATCATGCTACTATTTACTATGTCTCACTATGGTCCATTGTGCAAATATATTGCTGGCAGCATTTGGAAGTGTTTTACAGCCCATGTTGAGTCTACTTTGGTGTTTCTTATATCTGTGCATTTCATATAGTCACCATGGTGATCAAAATGAAGTGAGGAATGTTACTCAATTACCGTTCAGTGAACTCTTTAAAAAAAGGTATTATGTAAATCATCAAGTGCAAAGAATAATTTTCTTGGTCCCACCTCTCCCACTTTAATCTGCTTTCGGCTATCTAACTATTGAGTAGACACAGTGCGGTATAAAAATTCTGTCTGGAACTTCTGGAACGGACTAGGATAAAAGCGGGCAGCATGGTGTCCATACCGAACGTTATATGCTAACCAAATTCCATACTGAATTCTTTCTACACCTTTTTCAAAGCTTTGCTGAACGTTCGAAGGCTTAAGACACCTTGGAAGACAGATGTTGTTCTAGCGATTTCTATTATACTTCCTCATTTCCCTATTATATAAATTTTAGTCGCTGTAAGATTTGTTATTTTCTTTCACCTTAACTCGAATTTCTTCTCCTGCCTCTCTTGCTGATACCGGTTGTAGGTGTTAAGCTTGTCGCTTGTATAAACTATATTAATGTTTGCTGTTATGTTTTATTTATTATTATTTATTATTTACTGTGCTATATTTCATCAACATTAGCATCATCAACAGAAAAGCAGATGAATGTTAAGTGCGGAGATCTACCACCTCTTCTGATCTCTTTTTGATGCCAATAACAGGGAAACCCGAAAGTGAATAGGCGATTGCAGAGCGGTGCCTGAGGCGAAGATGACGGTGGCTGGTCGGTGGACGGGCTTGCTAGGCCCTCTGGCCGCCACGGTGCTGCTGCTGTTGGGCGGGGCGCGGGCCATCTCGAAGAATTTCGTGAACAGCTCGATGCCAGAAATGCGGCCTACTTTCGTCGTTAACTTCGACATGGCCACAGTCATTTGCCAGCACAGGTGTGCTCGTGTTGTTTTTATGATTTCTCACCTCGGTGAAGCCTTCTGTTTCTTTTTCTCCATTAGATTTCTGATTTCTCGGATTTAAGCTGTTTTTGAGTGTGAGATCTCTGGACAGATCGTTCCTATAGTAATTTCAATTTGCGATTCCGTAGAACGATGTACAAAGCCCGGTTCTTTCACGCAGTTTCCTTCTAGTCAGCAGTAATCTTTTTGTCTTCTTTTCATTAATTTTCCAGAAGGACTTTTTCCTGACTTGAGAACAAAGTGGTATGTTGTGAATTGTTCTACGATCTGAAATATTTGTGCTCTAAAACAAAGTAATCAACGGAGTAGAAAAACGATTTTAAAACTGAGTGTTAATGAAATGAAGGAATCGAAAGCAGCGGTGTGTTTGTCTCCGTTTTCGGAGGCACAACGCGAAATGTCAACTGGCTAAAATTGTAGGGATAAGATTGCGGATTCCATTTAAATTTTTAAAGTGGCTATAATCGGACTTGCTAAACAACCTATTGGGAAAATGTGGAATCATCAGAGTTGTGCGATTTCAGTGAAAACCCTGCGGATTTGCACTTACATGAGATTAGCGTGCTGTGTGATGGCAAGGACGACTGTTACAAGAATCCCGCGATGCATGACGAAAGTTTTCCGTATTGTGGTGAGTCGTAATCAAAGTTCGATATTAGCGAACGCCCAGAAAACCGTTGCATCTTCTGTCTAGAAAACTCTGTGGCCAGACAAATGAGTGGTGTAGCTGTACTTTAGAATCCAATTGCGCAAGTGACTTTAGCCCATCTCGGGCTCATTCTTGGTACTGGCGAGCGTTTCCAATCTAAAATGTTATTCGCAAATCATGAAACTTCCTGAAAACTTCGCAAATACGTGATTGTTTTTGAAGAAGTCAACGTACGATAGGTAGAGTCTGACAAAAATAGTGGCCAAGAAGTTCTTGAAAAAATATCGGTGCCTTCACCCGCGGTCAAAAACATCGAGTCGTTCTAGGCATGTCAGAGATGGATTTCATGTGCAACTCAATGTATTCAATATTTCTGTGAAGCTTTCGTGTTTTCGAAATCTTGAATGAGCACTTTTTTGCTTATTTTTCATCCTGCATAAGACATCACACAAATTCAATATTTGTGAAGTCCATCTCTCGAGTAGCCTGTAAAGAGTGCACCCTGTTAGAGGTCGTTGGCTAGTATTTCATACTTTAGCAAAGAAGACTAGAAGTTATTATAGACGTTCTTATTGTTGTTGTTGACTTTGTTCAATGGCTGACGCTTAGCCGACTTCGCTTTGCTCAGACTCTGGACGTATCATCTGTAACGGAACCCCCACAACTCGGTGGATTACATAGTATTAATGTAGAATCAGTATATGAAGAGACACCAATTTTCAAAACCACCAACCTTGCCATTGGACCAGCCATGTGTTGTTCGCGAGTGGTGATGAGTGAGACCCACCTATGGGGGTGTGCATCAAAAAGCCATTCTGAGATAAGATGACATATCACGTGTGGTAGTGATGCATTCGTCTTTCCGGTTAATTTTTGGACTTTCGAAATTTATCCTACACGCTTCAAGAGTTTTACGCGTTGAAGTCTCAGATTCTTGTGCAAGGATCCGGGCTTTCGTTTCAAAATCATTACCATTGTGCTTGTGTGCAATATGTGTACCCAGTTGTCGAGTTTTAGTTTTTTCATCTACATGTTTTTTTACGCGGACACAAAGCCGTCTGCGCTTTTCCCCATTGTATTCCTCACCACATGTCCTACACGAGATGAAGTATATTGCACCTGAACTCATGCAATCTCCGTCTCTTCCGTTAGGTAAGATTACACAATTTTTTAAGCTGCACAAACGATCATAGGGTAGCGAAGTAGCTGACGGCGTAGAGTATTGTGTGGAAGGTCAACAACTGCCGCATAACTTTCAAGACCACTTCTTCTAAAGCACTTCTTTATGACGTAACTTAACAGGTTTGAAAAGAAAGATAGTTTGAAGGGAATCTTATCTAGGTCTGAAATGTTATTTTAGGGAATAACTCTACCTTTTCTTCCGACCCGAGTAGCGTTTTCTTCGTAACCGCTGAAAATGGCTAATTTTCGTGCCAAGTTTACCGACTCTTTCCTTTCCTCTTTTCCTCTGCACACAATTTTAACTTTTTCTTTACTTCCTATTACAATTCTTCACTGAAGGTGAAGAAAACACAGGAAACTAGCTAAGAGAAAGACGAAACGAAGGCAGCGCATGGTGCGGCGGTGAACGCTTTAGTCCTTGGAAAGGGTAGCAGCTCGTTCGTTCTCCACCGCAAACACCTGCGGTCCGGAGTTTTGCAAATGTCTCAGCATCACTGCGGTTGCATCACCCGTGCACACATTTTCAGCCGTTTGGCACGTTTTTTTGATGAGAGCTTTTTTCATATGTGCAGAATGAGAGTAGAGGTAGTGCACTAGTATATTTTTCTACTTGGCTTTCAATTCCATTTTGTCATGTGGCCACTTCCTAAAAGCTTTATTTGGATGTTTGAGAATGAAAGCCAGTCATTGGTTGGTTTTTTTTCGCGCAAATTACTAAATTACTCCGACTGTCCGTTTAACGGTTCGCAACACTCGTCCATCTGCTCTTGTGTGAAACATATAGCAAAACAATCATCTGCATATCGACAGTAGCGTAATGTCGGCGATCAAGAACTGGAGCTTCCACCTTATATTTACGTGAAAGCGATGGAAAGGCTTGGTGCTAATCGCTGTCCCATTGCCAACCCTCTAATTTGTGCAAAATATCTTCTCGAGCACCTAAAGAATAAACAATTATGGCACTGTTCTAAGAGAGTCATTAGTTGTTGGATCGACAAGCCATAAATATTATTACATTTATGTTCCTTTCATGTTCTATGAGTAGCTTGGCTTGCATTGCGGAGTCATTTGATACAATGGTATAAGGTGAGGTAACATCGAATGAGTCCAATACATACGTGCTATTTAGTTGCGTACGCAGTAGGTGATCTAGGAATATTTTGGTATTAGGCAGAGGGTTTACTATGAATTTCAGTAACTTGGTTAGAATAAGGCTTATGAACCTTGTTATTCTATCCGTTGGCCTACATATACAACCGATGATTGGTCTAACAAACGATTACGGATCGGCGGACGCAAGATCTTCAGTAGAAGTAAGCTTGTGTGTCTTAATAAGCAACTATAGGACAGAATAAGTTGTATGGTCGTTCTTAAGCGGAGAAATAACTGAACGTTGTAAGCTCGATGGCCTTGTCGTATTTACCCACTCTCTACTTAACTTTCGGTATTGATTTCTATACACCTCTTCATAGGATGATCGATAGAGAGAAATATCGTTGAGACGCTTCTCTGTTATTCTAGCATCTAACTGACCATCAATAACTAATCCCCACCTTGATCGCTTATAGATAATCGGATGGGTTTTGAGTTCATAAACTCCTCAAACTGGTGCATACCACGTTTTTGGACGTATGTAAGGTTGGAGCTTAGTTTCCTATGCCGGTAGTAATTAAGTATCTGGAGAATCTCGTCAGAAAATAATCGAAAAGCAGAGTGAATTTTGCTATTTGGTTGTTCTAGCTTGTAGAAAGTTTAGGGAAAAGGTACTAGAGGCGATGCTCTTCTTGGAATTTTCTTACCTAACCTTTCCAGCCTAACCTTACAACGCAATTGACCTTCAAGTTCAAGCAGATTGACTGCACGTGACCCTGCGCAGGATTTTTTAAAGAGATAGGTTGGCTAGGCGAGAACTCGGACCCAATTCTAACAGTGAACGCGCATTTTCCGGAAGTGCTATAACTTCTAACAGAGTAACGCTGGATGATTTTGGTGGGCTCTCTATCCAGAGTAATTGCGTAAAACGTTGCCAACGTTACTACCCTATTCCAAAGGTTCTCCTCCAAATATTGATCACAATGGTTTTTTTGTATTCGCCGGACACGTTCTCAGCTTGAGAGACCCTGCCAAGGGGATTAATCACCCCGCTGCATATCGAAGTCCGACACCCAGGAACACCTCCCAGCCACAATGAGGCGGTAAACCGTTGAGGGGTACAATCGGTATATCTGTGTATGCGTTTGTTTGTCTGTTGTTGATATTTAAACGTTCATATAGAAGTTATTAACCGATTGATTTTATGCTGTCTTCTGAGCAAATGCGTTCAAGCGTTTCACTAAACCCGGCATTTAAATTTAACCTAAAATTCTGACAGCGTTAGATTCGCTACCCACAAATTATTGAAATCAAGATGGCAAATCTTTACTGGTCACTGCTTATGAATAAGCGGTATTATTTGTAAAGAAAAAGTAAGTAGAGCAACTCAATGACGCCTTGGACTAAACTAGGGATGTTCACCAGATATAAGCGGTACGTCATTCCCAGCACCCTTAAGTGAAAACAATCCTTTCACAGTCCTTTCAGCTCCAACTTATCTGAGCATGTTATTTAAAAAAGGTTTATCGTGGCATTTGCACTGGAATGGTTTTACTTGCTGCTCTTCAGCCATTCGGAAGCGTACTTGATTACCGTAATGACGCCGTTCCATTCAAGACCTATTGACCTCGTAATAAAGCAATTCACTACAACCTCTTAAACGGACGGGCCGAGACAGCACGCCCGATAACCGCTGTAATGGCGATTTGTCCTTCGAGTTGCTTCGCCATTAACACTGTCGCTGAGCAAGAAGTGAGAGTTTGGAGCAATTATCCCATAGAAAGCCAAGCCACAAATTTATTCACTCGTGCTGAAGCTTAAAAGTTTACAATTGGAGAGTATGGCTGAAGACTTGAGGAAATTTCACCATATTAAAAATTTCAAATACAAAAACCAATAGTGATGACGAAAACAAGAGCGCCACCGAATATATCCATCTTTCTCCAGTATTTTTTCTGTAAACGTATATCAGTTGTATGAGATATCTGGTGCGACAGTAGAGATCGGCGCCGTTTGATTCATACAGTTTAGCAGGTTTCAATCACGATAGTCAACATTATAATGGAAAAAATAATAAACACTTGGAACGAAAATTTTAGAGCAGAAGTGCAATTCGACATGCAATTACCGTGGCGCGTGCCTATATGATGGCCAGAAAGCGCAGTGTTACTGTAATTCTGGATTTTCGGGACCTACATGTGAAATTGTCGGTCGGTTTTTTAAGCAGGCCTTTGGGTAGATTTTTTTTATCAAGGATTAGCCTTTTTAGACAAGAACGAATGTCTGCATAAGCCTTGTCACTGGTTGGCGCACTGTCAAAATACCCTCGGCTCTTACGAATGCGCTTGTTTTCCCGGATTTCACGGCGATGGTTATCAGTGTGCAGGTACGTCCTACCATTGTTTGAAACTTTTTTTGCTCAAAATGACCGTGAAGGCAAGATTTTACTGTTGAAAACATTACCTTATATGGAAATTCCTCGTCGTAGAGAAAATTGAACGAGCTAGTTCATGACAAGTAGTAAAATACACGGAAAGCAAGTGAAAAGAACAAGACCCTTAACACCTCGTTCGCTATCAAGCGGGAATATGTTGCGATCTGTAGGTGTAAAGGATAGCGGCATTGTTATTGCAAGGTGATGTCGTAGGTTTCCACAATCACGAGCGGGTTGGTGCCTCCGGGGATGCTTGGAAACTCTTGTTGCTTGACGGAATCTCCACAGGATATATCCATCGTTGGCAAGAACTTGTGGCTTTAAGTTGTGGAAGCAGTCCATTTTAAGGAAAGTGCAAGAATTGGAATTCGTCGCAGAAGTCGAAGGTTACATGGTCGATAAGCTTTTCCAAAAATGATTTTCTAGGCGATTGCGACTGTAGTGTTGAACAGACCTAATTCTAATCATCGGAGAAAAAACATATTGAATTCGCTTAAAATTACCGTAGGTGATAATCGCTATGAACAAAATGCATCATGAAAACACCTTGCAAGGTTATTCGAGATCAACCCGGCAAGGATATCTAATATTGTTTTTCTGATGAAGAAGTGAATCCTAGTCTGTATGCTGGTTTTTAAAAACTGGCAGCACCACTTCTCAAGTAGGTGGAGAAGTAGGCCATAGAAATGACGTTTCAGCATGGAAGAGGTAATAGAGAGCTCAATAGTAATAGATGGTAAGATAAAATATAGATCCATTCGGTTTTGGAGATCGAGGAAAAGGATTTTCATATTACGGAAAATTAAGATTGTAAAAGAAAGGATGAAAGCGAAGAAAAGACGGTGGATGAATAAGGATGGAAAATATCTTTGGTGCAGACCAGTTTGGTGAGGTCGAACTCTTCTGTAAACGAAAATCGCATTTGGATATCCCATTTGCACATTCAGATGTCGACGAGTGCTCGATGGGCCTCTACAACTGTCCGGAAAATTCGGAATGTGTCAACTTGCCTGGCACTTACTTTTGCAACTGTACTGAAGGATTCGCGCCGAAGGTACACTGCAACAGATCTTTAAAAAGAAATTTTTCTTGGAGATTGATTGATGGGGAGGAACTATAGTTGGAGAGGGGGTCACTCTCCTAGGTCTTTTTATGTTGTTTCAATTCGTCTTCTTCTTCTTCCATAAGCAATGCTTTGAAGTAATTTTCTACTTGGAGATTAGATCCATTAATAGTTAGCAGTTCAGGGTCTTCCACTGGAAAAATGCGCCGATATAAACGAATGCGAATTAAACCTGCATAACTGTGAAAAGCATCAAATGTGCCAAAATAAGGTTCGCTTCGTACATGACGTGTCCATCTGTGATATCAATTTTCCAATTTTTCATTTTCATTTGAAAAAGTCTATTTTTTTACCAACTTTTTTACACGGCGAAGTTGGGACGATTGTTCATGAAGACTTTAGTGTTTCTCACAGTATGTGGTGAAATGAGTCTATATTTCCAATTCGCCAATACTGAAGGGATCTGATGGCGAATCCCGCTGATGGGCAATTATGATTCTTCCCACCTCCATTTCTCTCCGTTACCCTTTGACTGCTCCTTAGCTCTTTTTATCCCATACTGCAAATAGCGCAGTATCTAGCGTAAACAAAATTTCGGTTTGCAGAATACTCGAATCGCATTTTTCTTGGTTTTGGACTTTTTCGGATTTTGTTGAACTTTTTTCTGTGCTTCCTTATTTATTCGTACTATTATTTTGTAAGTATTTATTCTCCACTTAGATGACCGACCCGTTTTTACCCGTAAGCACATCTATTAACAAATATTTTGCTTCGTTCTTAAGATCCCTGTAATTATCAGTGGAAGTGACTGGTTTCCAATATAATATCAGAACCGAGGATCTTGCTACGGCAATTGTCTGACGAACTATCATGATCTCTATCTTATTTCGTAGGCTGCATCTTCTATGCTAGCCATCTGCATTATCCGCGTCATTTGTCGTCCCGTCGATCATCGAGAAACTCAGAAGGGCGCTAGTAAATTGTTGAATGTTCAATTCTCACTCTCGCATACAAGAGTAGCCAGTGGGTTCTGCTTGTTCTTGCGACTCGTTAAATGTCATGTCTTTCATCTAGGGTTTTCGTGAAGGACTTCGACCATCGTGTTGGTGGTCTTTCTGCTGTGCGTTTCACATCTCGAAGAATCTAGTTGCTAACGCCTCTTGTCCATTGATTGTCCTTCAGACGCATTACTACTCCAACTCATCTGATTTTCGATATTGTGGCATGCATAAAGACGACTTTAATTTTTGGTTGTTGACGTAGGTCGGAGTTTCTTCGGATTTCCTCTCTCCCTTATGTGACAAAGGATACTTCTAGTGCCGTCCACTCGATAGTGCGTTCCATAACGTGTAGTGATCTTTCATCCTACTTAAGTAACGACTGGGTTTCCGATGCGTTTGTTACGAGAAGAAGAATTGTCGAGTGGAAGAGACCAGCTCAAAGTCACGTGTGTCTCAGCGTCTGTTTCAAAGATAATCTGAGAGATTTACCCTATTACAACGTGTTGTTTAGTAGCTGATAATATTCAGTGTTTCAGATTTCCACCGTATTCCTTCATTAGGTTCAGCATTATTAAAATTTCCAGCAGGAGGATGGATTGCAAAGTCCATCCATTCATCTTCAGGAAAAGGAAAATGCAGTTTTCAATGAAGGCCACTCATCAATACGAATTTTCTTGTGCTCATTATTACACCACATTGTATGCTATGATATTAACACTTTTATTCTTTATTTATTTTATATGACCTGTCTTCACGTCTGCTGTGCGCAGCTCTTCTCTCATTCGATTCGTTTCCTCGCATCCGTTGTCCACGAAGATCTTCCAACTTTTACGTGTGCCTGAGGATTTCCATTTCATTTTGAATGTCGTAGAATGTTAGTCGAGAAATTTTTCTTGGACTCCCGAGATGGCCAGGCTGAAGCATCCCCAACTGGATTGCAGAGAGTGTTTTTTCCCAGATAAGTCCGGTGCCAATTTCCCGAATCCGGAGGGATGAGAGACTTAGTTGTGCTGGACGTAATCGAACTAGTACCATGCTCGTGAAGACGGACAACACTACCACTGTGATACCCTCCAGTGATATTAATACTTCTATTATTAAGCTTTCCCGGTATTAGACTAGATATATCATATTGGATTAATATTCCCTTTAAGCAGCTAAGGTTTTAAAATGACATCTTTTCCTACTTCCGTAGATCCCGAAATTTTTTTGTTCTCCAACAATCAATGAGTGGCTTTTTCAACGTTTTTCAGTTTTTTAAGCGATTTTTGCTTTTTTCTGCGTTTGATATGGCCTTTACTGTTATGTCACCTATTGCTTGTTTTCATGATAGATCCGTTCAGGTCGGCGGCTTCACGTGTGTCCACCGCTGCTCGGTTGGCTACCAGTTTGTGGATGGCAAGTGCGTCGACATCGACGAGTGTCGTCTGGAGGACTCCTGCGATAGGAGGGCCGAATGTACCAACATTCCCGGAGGCTACCAGTGCAAGTGCGACGAGGGACTCACCGGGGACGGCAAACACTGTTCGCGTCGGTTTTGACTCGAAGCCGCTGCTTTCAACTACGGTTTTGAACAGTCGGCTTCAATTTTTGACTCACTGATGCTAGTAAACCCTAGTCAATGCAAATCGGAATGGTTGTGTTTCGCGAAACCTAACCGTCTGTTGTGAATGTCGAAGTCCTACACAACGTATTCAACGAAAAAATCCACGAAAACCAAGGTATAACTGGCGGGCCTCTAAACTAGAGTTTGTTGCGTTAATGCTGGTAGTTTATCCTCTTTTTTGGTGCTTTCTTAAGCTTGGTACACAGGTGTTCATTATATCAAAAGTCGCGCAAGTAGGGTAATCGTTTTACTGAAATACTTTACTGGACGAAACATCAACTTTCACTTCTGCCTTGTATTCTCCTGGAAAGCAACTATATTTTCGTTCTATTCTTGCAGCAAACAACCTACGATAAAGTTATAGTAACATATTAAGTTGTCAAAGATGAATTTTAAAGGTTGATTTATGGGAGAAAATGTTGTGAGCTTCTCATCTGCTGAGAGAACCATGGTTTGGAACTCACTTTTAAAGAGTTCTTAATTTAATTACCGAGTTCTTCGTAAATTAACTCCGAAAGCCATATTCTAAAGTGTTTGAGATTTGACTTCTGATTAATTGGTAGTTTTCTGAAAGATTCGTTTTCAGCGATTACGGATTGCAGCCAAAACGAGGAGATCTGCGACCGACACGCCTTCTGCATCAAATCATTGAAACTGTGTCTCTGTCAGACCGGCTACGTTGGCGACGGAATCACTTGCAACGGTGAGTGCGTCAACTGATGGCAGCAGTTGTTCATGAGGAAGCTAGAGTTGAAACCATTCCACCCTCTAAGAGAATCAAACGCACTTAAAAGTCATCAATGATGAGCAATCGCTTGCATGTTCGAGTGTTCCATACTTTACGGGTAGCTCAACGTTTTCTTTCTTTCATTACATGAATGGAAATAAACATTCTGTCGCTAAGTGCGGTTCAGTTCAGAGCTACTCAAGATAAGTGGAAAAGATTCTTATAGATTGAAAAAATTGAAGTCTTTTCCCAAGAATTCAGCGATTTTTCACTTCAACTCTTTTCAGTTTGCTTCAAAATCTTTCTGCACTTTACAATGTTTGAGCGATACAATCTTTTTTGTTCACAATCAAAGTAGTTATGCTTATGCTGGATTCTCTACGAAGTTGTTTGGTTGTGGGAGTGAGCTGTACATCAGTGAATGTCTTTCTCCTGTGGTTCAGATGTCAACGAATGCTTATCGATGGAGAATGCTTGCAAGGACCAGAAGGGCGACCGTTGCGTTAATATCAAAGGCGGCTACGTCTGCTGTGAAGAGAACGTCGACGACAACCAGTGCATTCAAGGCAGGTACTTCCGATGTCGCAGTGGTGTGCTGAGTGACTCAAGGCAAAGCTTTCCAGACCATGGAGCATTCTGTGCTGGTGGATGCGGTTTGCATGCGATCTGCTTCAACCAGACTTGCCAGTGCATGGAGGGTTTTGTTGGTGATCCACACACAAGATGTATCGGTACGTCTTATCCAATATTTCCAATAGTTCCCAGTTCTCTTGCGAACCAAAGATTTTTTATCCACCCATGATGTTATAGGTCAATTTCGATCTTTGTCAATAACTAGATTAGTTTTGGAAAAATACCGTGTGCATGAAGAATTGATAAACATTGTTTAACCATTGGTAACTTTTATTTGCAGCCTGCCATAATTTTCTACGGGCGCGTGTGGCACAGTGGTTGGAGGCATCACTGCGGCACACACGTGGAGTCGATCCCTGCGCCCATGGCCCACCAAGCCTTCCATCCCACCGGGGTCGGCGAATTGGTACCATACTTTTCTGGGAGGATAGCAGCACTGGCTCGATGCATCAGTAGGCCACCGCGAGTCATTGGAAAGGCCAGATATGCGTTCAATCACCTCCATACGATGCTTAATAAAGTCGAATATATGGCTCATCCCTCAGGAATTGATCAAGGCCAAAAGTTTTTTTTCACTCTTTTCGACTATTAAGCAAATACGAGCTTAATAAAAAGGTTTATTCTGCTAACGTTTCGACGTCTTCGTCTTATTCAGAGCCTGATTGATCCCAGTCGATGATCCCCAGGTGGTCGCTCGGTATGTGGCTGTTCCAGCAAGCATTGCCACCTAAGAAAGATACAGATCATATTTATGTATACATTATTACGAACTACGCTTGTTGTACTGATGCAAGGTTGGCTCCACTCGCAACAGCACGGCTCTGAGAAAGGCGAAATCGCCGAAACGTCACCCGTTGGGAAACAACAACAATAATAACGACAACGGCAGCAACAACAACAACAAAGACAACTTTTATCAACTTCGCATCAGCTCAACAAGGGTAGTTCGTAAGAACATAAAAATAAATATATCGATTATTTATGCAGAGGCCTATGGAAAGTCGGTCTTTTGAGTTGTTGACTGAAACATTGTTAGAAATGTGTTCATTTCGAAAAGGAATCAGGAAATATTGAGGCAGAAGTATGCTCCGTTTTTGGTAACTGGACTTACATAATTTAGAACATTTTTTCGGTGTCCGAGTATTAAATCAAGATTTCAGACGTCAACGAATGTGAAATGAACGAGATGTGCGCCGGAGTGGGACAGTGGTGTGTGAACACAATCGGTGGGCACATCTGTTGCTCGCCCGAAAGCAAGGAACTCGAATGCCAAGTGAGCTCGTCACCAAGCCACGTCTTCGATTTTTGTTCAGCTGACTATCGTAATTGCGAAAGACAGTTCGCCTTCACCTTCCAAACAATTTTTAGCAATTTTTACATTGGGGAAGGGAGGTTGGTGATGCATTCTATCACAAAGCAAGGCGCTGGTTCTCACCACCTCCTAATGTTCTTCTCCAGTGGACGTAGGGCCTTAGCCGGGAGTCTCCAGGATTCTGAGGATAATCAACTCGAGCAGCATTCTACGACATTCATAAAAGAAATGAAATCCTCAAGCTGCAGCTGAAACAAAACGCGAAATATTCGAAGACCTTTGTGGGCAAGAAGGGTAGGACCCACACTGCAGATACATGACTGGTCATGCAAAATAAGAAAAAGTTTTTGTACTATTGACATTTCCCATGTGTTTTCTTCAATCCTGTAATGAGTATAAGCCACCAGAAAAACGTGGAAAAACACTGGCGGTTTTTGTCGTAATGAAATTTATAGAAAATTTTCTAGGAGATATAATTAACCCCCGAATGCACCGAAAATTAATCACTGGAGAGCTTTCTGCCGGATATACTAGTCTTCATGACGGAGAAGGTGGTGGACTCCCATCACCTAAGAACAAAGAACATCCGCAAACGGTAGCAGAAGTTGCCCTCCCTCCGCTCATTTTGGGCCTTGTAGAAAGAATCTCAGTGCTCACAACCGTTAATCCTTCATCATTTGGAAGACACGGAAGAGGTAAAGAAAAAACTCGATAAATAGCGCGATAATTGAATACACGGCAGCGAGATTGCCGTCATAAAGTCTGCTCTGCTCTTTTTTTTTCAACAACAAAACGACCCATTTCTCAATCGCATTGTGTCGAACGATGAGAATGGATTCTATACGATAATAGTCGATGTTAAGGAAGTAATAGCACGGTGGTAGTGATGTCTGTCATCACAAGCGTGGTGCTAGTTCGATTCCGCTCACGGCCAACCAAGCCTCTCATCCCTCCAGGGTCGTTAAATTCGTACAGGACTTCTCTGCGAAAATAAACACTCTCTGCAATCTAGTTGGGAACGCTCCACCTCGGATATCTTAATACTCCAGATAGAATTGCTCGACCAGCTTTCTACGATATTCAAAACGAAATGGAAATCCTCAAGCACACGTAAAAGTTGGAAGATCTTCGTCGACAATGGATGCGAGGAAACGAATCGAATGTGAAAAGTGGTGGGATCCGCACAGTAGACGTAAAGACGGCTCATATAAAATAAAACGAAATAAAAAATACTCGAAGTTCAACAGGATGGATTGGAATGGATAGGACTTCTAGACATTTTCCGGTGCCGAATTGGCACTAAGTGATGGCTGCGACGACTTTTTCGTTCTCGCCAAATGGAATCACTAAATGAAAGGTGTCGAGTCAAGTTGACGAACTACTATCACGAAAATGAGTAGAAGTCTATAAAAATTGTGATAGTGTATCCAGAACTAGTCAAAGGAAAAAATCCATCGTGCTTGCCTAACAGCGCCTGTAGCAGAGGTAATGCTGCGGAAGCTAAACGACTAGTGACGGAAGAAGACTCTGCCTTGCCCACATGTTCATCGATCCAGTCGCTAGTTAACTATCCCTTGCCCAAAAATCTCGAAAAATAATCGCTGAGAAGATGTTTACCAACAAAACTGGTACTGAAACAAACTGCTATTAAAGCAGTTTATTTCATTAGGATGCAAGTAAAGATCGGATGAGAATAAAGTGGAAGTAGAAAGAGTAAGAGAAATTACAGTTCGAAGTAATGCCATTCTCATTAATGATTGAGTTTCAGGGCGTGCATGTGTTCAAAACACATGACGGGGAAATTATGCTGCAGTACAACAACTCTATCGGCGACGTAATAATTCAACAAGCCGGCTTTTCTTCACGAAACGACTCCGGTGGCGCCATCATCACTCGACGCGGATTCCTGAAATTCGGTCCAGTTTCACCGAGTTTGAATGTGAACCGGAGAAACGGTTAGTGATAGCTGGTAATACAGTGAACGTGCAAAGACTGTGCAGAGTTTTTACAGAACTACTGTGCACGTCGTACTGTCCTGCACACTCGGAATGTGTCGATGGAGTTTGCCGCTGTATGAAAGGATTCGGTGGTAATCCGTTATTTGGGTGTGAAGGTAGGCATTATCATCGTTTTCCTTCAATCGTTTTCCATAACAAATAAAAACCCGATTTTTCTCTGAATTCGCTCAAGAATTTACTCAGTGATGGGTTCGTACTTAAGTACTCTGGTACGAAGTAATTGGCGAACAATGAGACATTTCAAATGATGGGAAGAAGACGATGAATGACTTCCCATTATGCTTTTAGTTCAAATTACAGATGAATACCAGAGTATCCAAAACGTCTGTCTAAAGCTCTCCGTATAGTGGTCGTGAAACACGACAAGGTTTGGCCTTTCAGATATTGATGAGTGCATCACCTCAGCGCCATGCCCTATAGATGAGGACAGCTGGTGTGTGAATACATTTGGCAGCTACCACTGCTGTAACTCTTCTACTATAAGCATTGACTGCATCGGTGAATTTTATTTAGTTAAGGAGTGCTCAGCTTAAAAAGAGCGATAACGCTCCTTGGAAATCTCATGATGGATTTAGAAATCAGTTTAACCGTAGGAAAAGTGGTTTTTTTCTACCCGTTTTCAGAAAATGGGAAATTGTAACTGCTTCTGGCCATTGAGAGCAGTTATAGAGTTATTCGGTTCGAAATTTTGACGCTAGGATATAATAATACTATTTTATAGGGCTAGAAATCGCTGGAGGACCCCATGATAGCAGACAAAGCGCTACCAGCAACCGAAACGAAGAAGCTTTCTTAGCAGCTTCGTTGAACGAAACGACGACCGGAGAAGTGATATCGCAGATCATTCACGAGGTGAATTCATTTGTTGCGTTTGTCAGAACTGACTATCACAAATCAGTGTTGTTGTTTAATCCCACGCTTCTTGTTGGTAATCGCTTTCGTTCGTTAGATTTATCGTTTTTGATTTCTTAGTTTGTAACTCCGTTAGTAAGTTAGGTGTTGGGTATTGCCAACCATGAGGTACTCAAACTGCTCTTTTTCCTGCTGTAGTTCACTGATGTTTATTTCTCATGTGGTCTAAGAGTCGTTTACTGATTCGAGAAGTCATGCAGAGCTATCAGCACACTGCATCGCGAAGATCCATCTTCCATCGAGTAAATTTTGTTCCAGACTCATTGCAAGACTTTTTGCCATGGTATTTTGCAGTCAAGGTTTCTTATCACAAGTATGAAGTATTTTATAATTTGAGCAGCTGCTGAACTTCCTTTCTGTTTAAATCACTTCTTGATCGTTTTAGAGGTGCGACTTGAATTTCAGTAGAAGTCTACGGCGCAATCGACAAGGTTTTCAGTTTTCTGACAGAAACCCCTAGTCTTCTAGGATTTGGTTATAATAGGTTCGCTACTAGGAACGGATAGCACAGTGGCAGTGATCTGAGTCATGACGAGTATGGTGCTAGTTCGATTTCGTTTCGGGCTAACCAAGCTTCTTATCCCGCCGGGGTCGCGGAATCGGTACCGAGCTTGTTTGGAAAAAAAATCGCTTTCTGGAATCCAATTGAGAAAGCTCCAGCCTGGCTATCCCAGAACCCCAGGGAGAATCAACTCAACCAGCATTCTACGGGCATTCAAGATGAAATGGAAACCCTCAAGCAGAAACCAAAGGCACACGTAAAAGTTGGAAGATCTCCGTGGACAGGGATGCGATGAAACGAATCGAATGTGAGAAGTACTGGGATCTGCACAATAGACGTGAGGACGGATCGAATAAAATAAAGAAAAATTCGCTCTTTAATAAATTAAATTAAATTTTAAAATAAATAATAAATTTAATTAAAATAAAGAAAAGTTACGAATAGAAAGGAAAATGTTTATGTTATTGTGTCACACTCTTCCCCTTTCCTCCTAGTGAGATGGCAGTTTTGTTCAACTGAATTAAGTCTTCGCACAAAGGGGCTAATTGAAGGCGCCATCTCAATATGCTTATGGTTTTTCCTTCACACTTTTCTGGTGTTTCATAAGAGTGACCGCCTCCGGTTGTGCGTAACGAGTACCATCAAGGAAGATTGTCGTGGTAGGGGTGCAAAAGAAGAATCAGTCTCCACAGCTTATTGGAAGTGTTACTGGGCCTCATTAGACACTTAGCAGAGTACGAGAGGCAATGTTCTCTCATCGGTTTCCTCAACTGCCTATCATTGTGGGTTTTGTGGTTTGCTGGTTGTGCGGATTTTTGCCTGCACTCTTGAGGCTGAGTGGTTGAGAAGCTTGTGATTTGACTTGTAATGAGTGGAATGATATAGCAACGAATTACCGATGAAATTATCGTTCAGTGAACTCGACTAAGAAGAAATGTTTTGTTAGTTATTAGTAGAGACTTTTTGGACAAACTATCGATATCGAAATAAAGGTGCGGTGAAAAAAAACTGAACAATAAAATAAATCCTTGAAAATAGGACGCACTGGCTGCAATAGACGTTCTCTAGTTTGCCCATTCACTCTCTTTCAGAAGCGAAGAATAAACAAGAAATATTAATAAAAAATGTCGAAAAGCAATAGTTCAAGAACTCTCACATAAATATTAGGTACACAACTTTTCTGCTGGAGAAATAATCGTGGTCAAAAACAAGGAGATGACAGATGTATTCGAGGCAAACCCAAGAAGAGGCGAAGTTGGTCTCGAAATTGTTGCTGAAGTCTCAAAAAAAGGTACGCATTTTATGCATAAGTGTTTAAAATTGAGCAAATTATGTCTTTATTATCAACTAAGCGGCGCGTGTGGCGCAGTGGTTGGAGGCGCCCTGCAACACACACGTGGAATTGATCTCTGCGCCCCTGGCCACGAAGCCTTCCATCCCTCCGGGGTCGGAGAATTGGTACCAAACTTGTCTGAGAGGATAGCAGCGCTGGCTCGATACATGGGTAGGCCACCACGAGTCAATGTTAAGGCCATATATGCATTCAATCACCTCCGAACGATGCCTAATGAAGTTGAATGCATGGTGCATCCCTCAGAAATTGATCAATGCCGAGAGCTTATTATTCTTATGAAGTGCTGAGATATTTGCAAAACTCCGGACCACAGGTGTATGCAGTGGGGAACGAACACGCGCTGTATTATTCTCTATTATTATCAACTATAATTTCATCTTTATGTCATTTTTTTCTATTCTATAGTGCAGCTCGCCAAAACATTTGTTTGAGATCGGACAGTGGTCGATTATCCCAATTCACCGTCAAGAAGCACAGTAGTGGAAGCGACGACTAACAAGCCGGCGACGGGATCCGTTCAACCCAACATCTCATCAACTCGTTCAGTGATTTCGGCCCATACAACATCTATTCCAATCACCGACATACCAGTTCATAGGCCAACGTCAGAGTCGCCGGTGCCTGTTTGTTGAGCAATTTTCGGTTTCATGACCAGGTTTTCTTGGCCGGGTTATCGCATAGCTCTTGCTAATTTACTGTCTCCACTAGATTATTTGATTATTACGCCGCGAAAATTTGTTCATTTTTTAACAACGTTTGGCCGTTCATAATCTCGAACATTGCTTAACACAAACAAAGCCTAGAGAGGCTAAACTGGGTCAAGCCATGTTAAAAAATGTGAACTAAAACCAAAAATTGTCATTGCAACGTAAGTGAGACTTGGTAAAAATGCCAAATTTTTCAGGCTCAGATGCCTAATGCTCGCAGTGTTACTGAAATTGATGGAAGTGGAAGCGACTTGATTGGAAGTGATCAACGTGTAAAAGCAAACACATCGCCGACACCGAAGGCGACGATTTCGTTCAAGGAAGAAAAGGAGAGGGATGATGACTTCATGACGACAGCTGTGGAGATGAATCAAGAGCCTTCCATTGCTTCAACTTCTCCAGAAGCTGTTCATAAACCTGCTATGAAGGAGCAAGATGAAACGAAGGAAATAAGAAAACACGAGAGAACAAAACAGGGTTCTCCAAAAGTGGCAGAAAAATCAATGATCGGTGTTAGTGATAAGCAAGGAGGCACTCAGAAACCAAAGGCTGCTGTTGTAGGAAATTCAGGAAGTAAAAATAAGTCGACGACGCCGACCTTGCAGACAAAATCTGAGACAGATAAGGAGTTAAGCTTTCATAGCTCGACACTGTTAGTAGTTACAAGCACTGTAGTTCAGGTTGAAACCACCAGTAAAGAGGATCGGATGATTGAAATAGATCATGGAAGAACTGAGGCTGCTCGATTAGGGCACACTTCTGTTTCAGTGGCCAACGTCAACTCAGGAAGAATTCCTTTAGTTGGAAAGGTAAATAAAATCTTACCAACTTCGACTCCGTTTGATTCAACCGCCGTGGAAATTCCTATCACTATGATGACGGCTATCGATCCAAAAAATAATCAAATGGAGCCGGTAGAAAATGAAGTTGGTTTGGAGATTGTTGGCCATTTTGCTACTAAGCACCACTCTGATCGGGACCATCTGATGAAAATCCCCATCAACAGCGATGGCTCCGGTGAAGAACCAGATCGAAACGAGGAAGAAAGCAAAACGATGACAGGAAACATTATCATCACTATATCCACGGCCAACAGTGAAACTGTAACTGGGACTTCCACCACGGAATCCGCAGGGAAAGTGGAAAGAATAGCAGAGGCTAGAGGGAAGCCTGAAAGTTTCATGTTTCCTTCTGATGGAGGAAATACTGTTACTGCAGAGCCGATGATTGACGCAGAAAAGGTGGGGTTGGAAATCATGCATAACAAGACGGCAGCAAGGGCTCGAACTACTGATGTTGGGCATATGGAAACGATGACGGTTACTCCAAATGCTCCAGAGGTATGTTTTGTGCTAAAATTGGAAAGGAAACTTAGAAATATTAAACTTTTAAGCGAGTTAGGGTAAAACACGTGCAATTTAAGGTTAATGGACTAAAAAAGTTGTGCTTGGTTATCTCTTTTGGATGGAGTTGGGTAATATAGTTCTAAAGAAATTTAGAGATTAAAGTCATTTGATAGAGAGATGACTAATCCTATCCCAACAAAAAATTTTCGACATCTATCTAGGATTTTCAAAGCGATTAGACACAACTGGATATTCAAACTTATTTGAAAAGGCGATTCACGTTAGTTGCCTTAGTGACTTCGGAAATGCATCGTGTTGACCGACGAATACCTTTTTCACCTTTGTACGCTTTTTTTACTTCAAGAGGTAACTACTTTGCATTTAGTTGTTCATTGATGAAGAGTTAGTTGCTGGAAAGGAATCATTAGATGGGAGAAGACCACTCACACAAGCAACTGGTGCCTTCGAAGGAAATATCACGGCAAAAGAAGAACACCTCACTGCAACTCCACTGATCTCTACTAAAGGAAGCACAAGCATTCCAAAAACTTTAGAACACACTGGAAAAACCTCATCGGCATCGACAGCTGCAACGACAACGACGAAAGCTGTGATCACCACCACTGATCAGCAAAGCCTCGAGTCTACTAGTGCGAACGTGGCTACTCATACGGATAACCCAGCCAGTACGTACTATCCAGTAATATTTTTTAAATAAAACAGTTGTTATTTTCAAATTCTTCTTTTATAAAACGCTGCCTTTCAGTGGATTTCTACAAATTATGTCAAAGGTTTCAAGTAGTTAAAAACTTTGTTTCA